TATATACATAAATAATATATTTATACATATACATATATATACATATATATATACATATATACATATATATATATATAGACATATATATATATATATATACATATATATATATATATATATATAATCCACCTACCCACCACCGGCACGCTTTCTTTTCGGTTCTTTTGAAGCGCCTGTTTCTCTCTTAACATGCGCGCGTTCTCGGCTACTGCGCCTTTTTGTATGGTTGCATACACCCGCCGCCGTGTGTCGACATCCATTGTGTTCCATTCCTTCCAGCGCCCAGCCATGCCCAGCTGGTAAAAGTAATTGAACCACAGTTTGTTGTAGATCAGGCTCCATCTCTGTGACATTTCCTCGCCTATGAGGAGAGAGATGGGGTGAGCGCAAACAGATAGCACGAGTACGCACGCTTATTTGCGAATGCAATGGTTTTAAACGCGGTATGATAGAGCCTCACGGCTGTTGTAGGTGAGGCTGCGCCGCCTGCGTGAAGATCAAGGAAGTAAAGATATATAGGAGGCATACGCACGCTAGTGTGGATATAAATTGAATTTGAATTGAGATACGTTGCGATAGCACGTGCACGCGTTTGTGGATATAGAGTTGCCTCAGATGGATGTCACACGACATTCGGAATTTCCGATGAAAGGAACAAAAGGACGTCGACAATTGCATACAAGAGTTCAGGAGAAAACACCGGTGTGTCATGGATCGGGTCATAAACAGTACCATCCTGGAGTGAAAAACTGGGACACCTATGCATACAATACAAGTACGGATACCATACCATTTTGTTTCACTATACAGTACAATTTTGGGAAATTGGATAATTTATGCACAAAAGTTCAGAAACATACCTTTCTTTTTCAAGATTCCAGCCATATCCAGTACAACACTGCGGGCCACATTCTTGGCCCAGTCTTCCATGCGCGCTATTGAATTCTGTCCGTGCAAAAGCAACAGATGTCAGTAAATGCTTTCCAAATAAACTTACATAGAAAATAAACAGAGAACGAGTGAGAGTAGGAAGCATATGATTAAGAAATACTTCGGGAACAAGATATATACTTCGGAAAAAGTATATG